AGATAGAGACAGACAGACAGAGAGAGAGAGACAGGCAGACAGAGAGAGAGAGTTGGGGAGGGGGCAATGATCGACTTTCTTTGTACCATATTGGGGGCGGCGGGAGACGGGCAGGGTCATAAGGTTAGGGCACAGGGCATGGGGCAGGACCTAGCCGCCCACCCACCCTGATACTGGTTGGCTCCCTGCCGCCCTCTCACCTCCCCCCACTCTCACCACCCGTCACACCTGCCGCCCCTTACCCCTCCCCACCCCCCACGCCCTCACACCTGTCCCTCACACCTGCTCCCACAGCCTCACCATCATCACCTGTCATCATGGTAAACAAAACAATGACCTAATAAATTTACTGAGCATCACGAAGGTGTTTTAAAAAGTTCCAATACTCCACATCCTTCCCTGTTAACACCAGTGCTACGTGTGTACAACCCACTGATTACTCTATTAACCTACAGTACGTGTTAAGTTATCGTATTTAAGGCTAGAAAAAACTAAAATGTACAGTAATAAGGAAATGATTGAAAGAAAAACACCAAATTCCTTGTTATAAAAGTTAGGATGTTACCATTGTCTGGATCGAGATAATGGATTAGAGAGCCCCAGTAACTCTCTTTGTCTCAACCTCCCTCTCCTCCCTCTCTCTCTCTCTCTCTCTCTCTTTCTCTAGCTAACCAGTTGACGTCATAAAGAGAGAAAAGCTCCTGTAGGTTCTCTCCTGGCTGTCTTGGTGGCCTCAACACAGGTGGTCACTGTTCAATGTGTGCTGCCCTCACACCACCACCACTACCACCCACACCACCCACCACCACACCCGGTACACCACCCACCACCACACCACCCATCCCCCCACTACCACACCCGGTACACCACCCACCACCACACCACCACCATACCCCCACTACCACACCCGGTACACCACCCACCACCACACCACCCACCATACCCCCACTACCACACCGGTACACCACCCACCACCACACCATACCCCCACTACCACACCCGGTACACCACCCACCACCACACCACCCACCACCACTACCACCCCACACCACCCACCACCACTACCACCCACCACTACCCACCACCACACCCCACCACCCACCACCTACCACCCACCACTGCCACCACCACACCCGGCACACCACCACCACCACTACCACCCCACACCACCCACCACCACACCACCCACCATACCCCCACTACCACACCCGGTGCACCACCCACCACCACACCACCCACCACCACACCATACCCCCACTACCACACCCCACCACCACCACCACTACCACCCACCACCCACCACCACTACCACCCACCACCACACACCACCCACCACCACTACCACCCACCACCACCACACCACCCACCACCACTACCCCACACCACCACACCACCCACCATACCCCCACTACCACACCGGTACACCACCCACCACACCCATAACACCCCACTACACCAACCAAACACACACCCATCACACTCTGCACATTCACCACACCCTACCACACACACACACACACTCTCCCCCACCAGACCACCAAACAGGCACCACACAGTAGGAAAGAACTTTATATTGATAATGAATTTATACCAAGGACAGGTCACACACACACACACACACACACTTCATCTGGTTTAAGTATATTATCAGTGCAACAAACAGGATTAACCTCAACTACCATCATGAGACAGTAGTCAAGGCAACAGTAGTGTTAAGTGTAGGAGGTTATCGCCATTGTTTGTATACCTGCAAGTACATTGTTTGTATACTGCCACTGTCTAGGTACATTGTTTGTATACCTGCACTGTCTAGGTACATTGTTTGTATACCTGCACTGTCTAGGTACATTGTTTGTATACCTGCACTGTCTAGGTACATTGTTTGTATACCTGCACTGTCTAGGTACATTGTTTGTATTCCTGCACTGTCTAGGTACATTGTTTGTATTCCTGCACTGTCTAGGTACATTGTTTGTATACCTGCACTGTCTAGGTACATTGTTTGTATACCTGCACTGTCTAGGTACATTGTTTGTATACCTGTACTGTCTAGGTACATTGTTTGTATACCTGCACTGTCTGGGTACATTGTTTGTATTCCTGCACTGTCTAGGTACATTGTTTGTATACCTGCACTGTCTAGGTACATTGTTTGTATACCTGCACTGTCTGGGTACATTGTTTGTATACCTGCACTGTCTAGGTACATTGTTTGTATTCCTGCACTGTCTAGGTACATTGTTTGTATACCTGCACTGTCTAGGTACATTGTTTGTATACCTGCACTGTCTAGGTACATTGTTTGTATACCTGCACTGTCTAGGTACATTGTTTGTATACCTGCACTGTCTAGGTACATTGTTTGTATACCTGCACTGTCTAGGTACATTGTTTGTATACCTGCACTGTCTAGGTACATTGTTTGTATACCTGCACTGTCTAGGTACATTGTATACCTGCACTGTCTAAGTACATTGTTTGTATACCTGCACTGTCTAGGTACATTGTTTGTATACCTGCACTGTCTTAGTACATTGTTTGTATCTATACTGCCTGTCTAGGTACATTGTTTATATACACCTGCACTGTCTAGGTACATTGTTTGTATACCTGCTGTCTACCAGAGTACATTGTTTGTATACCTGCACTGTCTAGAGTACATTAATTTGTATATACTGTCTAGAGTACATTGTTTGTATACCTACTGTCTAGGTACATTGTTTGTATACACTGTCTAGGTACATTGTTGTATACCTACTGTCTAGAGTACATTGTTTGTATACCTACACTGTCTGTTACATTGTTTGTATACCTGCACTGTCTAGAATTACATTGTTTCACTGTCCTAGGCCATTGTTTGTATACCTCTGTCTAGGTACATTGTTTGTATACCTGCACTGTCTAGGTACATTGTTTGTATACTTGTCTAGGTACATTGTTTATATACCTGCACTGTCAGGTACATTGTTTTGTATACACTGTAGTACATTGTTTGTATACCATTGTCCTAGTACATTGTTTGTATATACCTACACTGTCTAGAGTACATTGTTTGTATACCTGCTGTCTAGGTACATTGTTTTGTATACCTACACTGTCTAAATTACATTGTTTGTATACCTGCACTGTCTACATTACATTGTATACCTACATTGTCTAGGTACATTGTTTGTATACCTGCACTGTCTAGATACATTGTTTGTATACCTACATTGTCTAGGTACATTGTTTGTAGCACACCACTGTCTAGGTACATTGTTTGTACATACTACCACTGTCTAGAGTACATTGTTTGTATACCTACACTGTCTAGAGTACATTGTTTGTATACCTGCACTGTCTAGAGTACATTGTTTGTATACCTACTGTCTAGGTACATTGTTTGTATACCTACACTGTCTAGTACATTATTTTACATATACCTACACTGTCTAGTACATTGTTTGTATACCTACACCTGTCTAGTACATTGTTTGTATACCTACTGTCTAGTACATTGTTTTGCTTATACTACATTGTCCACATTACATTGTTTTATACCTACACTATCCTAGTACATGTTTAACCATACCTGCACTGTCTAGGTATTGTTTGTATACCTACACTGTCTAGGTACATTGTTTGTATACCTACACTGTCTAGAGTACATTGTTTTGTATACCTACATTATCCTAGGTACATTGTTTGTATACCTGCACTGTCTAGTACATTGTTTGTATACCTACATTGTCTAGAGTACATTATTTTTGTATACCTGCACTGTCTAGATACATTGTTTGTATACCTGCACTGTCTACATTACATTGTTTGTATACACTGTCTAGTATTGTTTGTATACCTGTCTGCGTGCATTGTTGTATACCTGCACTGTCTGAAATTACATTATACCTGCACTGTCTAGGTACATTGTTTGTATACCTGCACTGTCTAGGTACATTGTTTGTATACCTGCACTGTCTAGGTACATTGTTTGTATACCTGCACTGTCTAGGTACATTGTATACCTGCACTGTCTAGGTACATTGTTTGTATACCTGCACTGTCTAGGTACATTGTTTGTATACCTGCACTGTCTAGGTACATTGTATACCTGCACTGTCTAAGTACATTGTTTGTATACCTGCACTGTCTAGGTACATTGTTTGTATACCTGCACTGTCTTAGTACAGTCCAGTGTAAATTGCACAAGTCTACGGGCGATCATCACCTCACCCGGACAATCTGGACACACACACACACACACACACACACACACACACACATCTGGCAACTCACTCATAAGCTTGCCAGATTTTCCTGATATTCGTCCGTACAGAAACCTGACGAAACATTACAAAATAAAATTCTTACTGATTATCGAATTTAATTTTCTTAATAATAATAATAATAATAATAATAATAATAATAATAATAATAACAATAAATAATAAATAGAAAAATAATAGTTAAAATTATATTCACACATTATCACACTTCCAGCTTACAAAGAGTCGCCTTATGTTCTCGAGTGTAAACAGTTATTCCCGTAGGTTATAACATGAAGCAAAAATTATTTAATATCAGCTGGGAGACATAACTGAACAGAGAAGAAATAACCTGAAGTTAGAGACAGGTTGACGAGTGTGTGATATGAGGCGGCAAACATGAAAATAGGTCACGGTATTCTTAGGTTGAATAAAAATAGGTCACGGTATTCTTAGACTGAATAAAAATAGGTCACGGTATTCTTAGGTTGAATAAAAATAGGTCACGGTATTCTTAGGCTGAATAAAATAGGTCACGGTATTCTTAGGCTGAATAAAAATAGGTCACGGTATTCTTAGGCTGAATAAAAATAGGTCACGGTATTCTTAGACTGAATTAGTACACAAACATAATTCACAGTACCATATATGTTTGTCCGCAGTCTTGGATTATTGACAGGTGTGTAACAGGTGTTTATCCATAGATGGCAGCAACATGGAGGTATTAACAGGTGTGTAACAGGTGTTTCTCCACAGATGGGGGAGGAGGCGGAGGGTGTGGGGGCGGGACGAGGGAGGTTCATAAGAATGGCTGGCTCAAGAGGATGCCCAGCCAGGAACGACGCCTGTCAGTCATGTCTCCATTCACCAAGGTCAGTAGTACTTCCCCTAGGTCAGTAGTACTTCCCTAGGTCAGTAGTACTTCCCTAGGTCAGTAGTACTCTAGGTCAGTAGTACTTCCGGTCAGTAGTACCTCCCCAGTCAGTAGTACTTTACCAAGGTCAGTAGTACCTCCCCAAGGTCAGTAGTACTTCACCAAGGTCAGTAGTACCTCCCCTAGGTCAGTACTTCCCCAGGTCAGTAGTACTCTAGGTCAGTAGTACTTCCCCAAGGTCAGAGTATTTCCCTCAAGGTCAGTAGTACTTCCCCAAGGTCAGTAGTACCTCCCCAAGGTCAGGAGTACTTCCCAAGGTCGGTAGTACTTCAGCAATGTCAGTAATACTTCCCCAATTAAGATATATTTCCACAAAAATAAATAATAATAATAAAAATAATAATAATAATAACAACGTGGCCAGTAAACCTTTAATTAATACCTCAACTCCTAAATAGACGAACAGGTGACAATAAGAATAACAACCACAATAACAACACAACTCATAACTTCAATAACATCACCACAACTCATAACAAAAACTACAATAACACCACCACAACTAACAACAACCACAGCACCACAACCACACCACAACAACCACAGCACCACAACTCACAACCACCACAATAACCACACGTTACCCTTCTCCTCTCACAGCCAGCCAAGGCAGAGAAAGTATGGGTGTCCTTCTGTGTACACGACGAGGTGGAAGGTTGGCTTGAGTTTTACGAGAACAGACGCTCAGCATTCAGTCATAACCCCATCCATCGCACGTCTCTCGCTCGCTGCCTCCACGTCTCTCCCTCTATCCGCGTCCACGAGGATAATGAACACGTCTTCGCCATTACCTTGGAGGGCGAAGTCATCAAACTGGGCGCCCAAAACAGGTAAGAGAGTGTGTGTGTGTGTGTGTGTGTGTGTGTGTGTGTGTGTGTGTGTGTGTGTGTCCCCAAATGAACTTAAATTATCCTATATCAACCCCAAGTGACTCTAAATGACCCCAAGTGACTCTAAATGACCCCAAGTGACTCTAAATGACCCCAAGTGACTCTAAATGACCCCAAGTGACTCTAAATGACCTCAAGTGACTCTAAATGACCTCAAGTGACTCTAAATGACCTCAAGTGACTCTAAATGACCCCAAGTGACTCTCAATGACCCCAAGTGACTCGAAATGACCCCAAGTGACTCGAAATGATCTCTGGCTACCGTCACCTACAGGGAGCAGATGCTGGAGTGGATAGACTCCCTGCGGTGCCGCCTGCGGGAACTGGGAGTGTTGACGCCCAAGGACAACCTCTACAGCAGGGAGCCGGAGGCCATCCCCTCCTCAGGAACCCCAACTCCCCCTTCCCCCACCCCCACCTTCCAGTTTCCACCACACGCCCTCGAATTCAGAGGTAAGACCTCACCTAACTAACTTAACCTGATTTAACTTAACCTAACCTAACTTAACCTGATCTAACCTAAACTAACCTAACTTAACCTGATTTAACCTAACCTAACCTAACTTAACCTGATCTAACCTAAACTAACCTAACTTAACCTGATTTAACCTAACCTAACCTAACTTAACCTGATCTAACCTAAACTAACCTAATCTAGCCTAACCTAAACTAATCTAACCTAACGAAAGCTAACCTAATCTAACCTGATCTACCTGTGAGTCTAGCATCATTATATACTACTTTATGTAAGGTTCTTGCTTCACATGGTGTAACTTGCTTCATGTGTCGATGGATCACTGTATCGGTGCCACTATTGGTGTCACTGTATGTCACTATCACCATAAGTCACCATACCACTATCACCACAAGTCACCATACCACTATCACCATAAGTCACCATACCACTATCACCACAAGTCACCATACCACTATCACCATAAGTCACCATACCACTACCACCACAAGTCACCATACCACTATCACCATAAGTCACCATACCACTACCACCATAAGTCACCATACCACTATCACCACAAGTCACCATACCACTATCACCACAAGTCACTATACCACTACCACCACAAGTCACCATACCACTATCATCACAAGTCACCATACCACTATCACCTCCCCCAGATGATGTGTCCAGCCTACACTCGATGCGCCTCGGGTTAAGTCCTGCCCCCAGCATGACGCTCTCCACCGCCTCAGGACTCTCGGCTATGTCCACCCTGTCGTCCATGCAGAGCCTTAACTCAGTCTCTTCTGGCTCCTCCGACCCCAACACCTCCCCTTCCTCCGTTGTCACCTACGTCAGGCATCACCACGACCCCCCACTCAATAGGTGTGTATCTGGTACTGCTATTATTATTATCATCATTTTATTACACACTATTGTTATTGTTATTACTAACCGTTTATGTTGTCTCCCCACACAGGAGGTCGTCGTTTAGGGCGTCACTACCCAGCTCCCCCACCACGCCCTCTACTGGGACGGGCTCCCTCACCTTCCTCAGGTCCCCTCCAGGTCCGCAGGTAAGTTACTGTACCCAGGTGCGGCATGGCGTCTGGATAGTGGTATGTGGATAGTGTAGATGGATAGGGGTGTGAGGTGGATATAGAGGGTAGGGGTGCAGAGGGTAGGAGTTGTGTATAGGTGTGTGGTAGGTGTAGCGAGTGTATTACCTACACCACCTGTCACCGCCAGATGCCACCAGCGCGGGAACACGTGACGGTCATCAATGTGCCCTCACCATCATCTTCCGTGTTCAACTTCGAGAGTGTGGGAGCAGTACTGGAGTCTAGCGGCGGCATGGCCAACTCTGAGCTGTACGGCGCCGTCTACCCCACCGACCCTTCCCTCACTGACTCCAGCGACGCCCTAGACTGTAGTGACGCCTCCTACTCCATCATCAACGACCCCAACGCCGTCCAGCTACGCATAGGTAATTCTCTGGGTGCTGGAGGGCCCAGTGCCACTGGCGGAGGGAGGCCGCCTCTACCCCCAGGTCAACGCGCAAGTGGCTACAGCAGCGGCGGGGCGTCTGGGGGTGCGACAGGGTATGCTGGAGCGACGGGGGCCAGCGGAGGCAGCGTGGGTGCCAGCAGCGTCGCCGGCGGCAGCTGGTCCAATGTCAACGCCGATGAGAGTTCCTACGAGCCCTTATTCCTAGCGAGCAGTGCGGGCCTGGCGCCGCCCCCAACACCCACGGCGCCCCCCGTCCCTCAGGCCCCCCAGACTGGCCTCCTCCGGCGCCGCTCTGAACATCGACGCTCCGGGCGACGTGAACATGGCCGTAGAGCCGCCTCAGTCGGCCCGACCATCACTCCTAAACAACAACAGGTAACAGTACACCTTCACTGTACACTTAAAGGTACATCCGGCAGCGCAAAGTTGGCACACTGATGATGATGATGAATTTTTACAGCAGTGTCCAATAATAATAATAATATGTTGCAGCAGTACCAAGTGGGGCAGGACGGTAGACTCATGAGCCTGAGAGAACAACAAGTTATCAGACTACAGAGAGAGATAGCCCACCAGGCTGGCGTCAGACTCACACTACGCAAGAAGGACTGTCTCAACTCGGTCGCCTTTGTTAACATTTTCAATCACGTAAGTCAACCATCTTACTACCTAAGTCAACCATTTTAATCCATCTAAGTCAAACATCTTAAACCACCCAAATCAACCATCTTAAACCACCCAAATCAACCATCTTAAACCACCTAAGTCAACCATCTTAAACCACGTCAAATGTGTGGGTGAGAGTGCCAAACATCACCACTGGATATCACATTACAGTAGTGTTACACAACATCAACAAGCACAACACAGCCCCGCCACAACCTGCTAGACGGCTAGAATTAATCATGACACCTTAACATGAGTCAACAACATACTTGCTTCCTGAGGCCACCAACACCTTATACAACACCCCTTGTAACAGTCATCCCCCTCTACATATCCGCCTCTACCTGTAATTACGCCTATCTACCTGTATCCCTTTGTATCGTCCTGTAATCAATACTACAATTACTCTTCTCTAGATGACCGCATTGGTAATAAGTTTATAGTATCTAATGTGCCTGATAAGATATTTGAAACATAAATAAAACATCAAAAGGCGAGAGCGGTTTTAGTAGTGGCATTTAATAACTTTTAAAGAGTAGGAACCTGACCGATGCTTACCTTATTAACTTGAAGAATGTCTCATCTTTTTTGTCACAAGATCTTAGTCTTTTTAGGTTTTAGTGGTTATATTCATCTTGTTTACAGCAGAAGCGAGAGTGAAGTGGTAAAACATTTCCTGTGAGTCTCAGAAAGTTTTTATAAAGAATTAGTCAACAACACGACAAAGAATGTACAGGAAATCACAGTTTATATCACTCAATATTTTTTTAAGCGTCTTCACTTATTTCCGTCAATAGATGAAATAAACAGCATTGTGTAAATAAACAAATGAACATCTGCCGAAAGAATCACATACATTTTACAGGATATTGAATATGTTTATAGAGATTATACGGTATTTAATCTTCATGGTGTTTAAGTGGTTTCTTCATTTATTCCTGATACACCTTTTAGCTTGACTCATTTTGAAATATCGATGTATTAATTATTGGAGTGAAGGAAAATGACCTAAGAGTTACATTTAGATAATTGTAGTACGGAAATTCCATTATATTTACGTTACAATAAACAACTGCATTTAAACAGCCTCGTTACATTGTAATTTTCTGGACTTCCATTTTTACTTGTAGTGCAATAATTTGGTTCATCTACTTGTAACTAATATATTTATCAGTTTAATATTTAATTCCTAATATCAACTGGTATCTATGGCTATTATAATTACCTCTGTACCTGTATTTCCCTGCATATAAGACGCTGAGCATTAATAAGCATATGTATTCATGTGTGTGTAGGG